ATTCCAAGAAATGTCGATGCTTGATTACACCACCAAGATTTTGGAAGGGCATAGAGCCAAGGAAGGAAGGAAGGAAAATAGGAGGAAAAGAACGGCAGGGAGGTTAACCAGCCTATAGACAGCCAGTTTGCGACCCTGCGAATGGGAGGGGGGAGACGAAAGATAGAGAGCAGAGAGGGAAGAGAGATAAAGTCACCAACACTTTCACGTATACCACACGGAAAGGTTGCCCTTGCAGAACGGAGTAAACAGATCAACAACTTCAATATAAAGAACGAATATGGCAGCTGCTCAGGGCACCCATGCCCTTCAGCAGCAGCAGCGTGGAATCACAAATCACCGATATCACTTGTAACGTTAGCAAGGTCCGTTCGCAAATTGTCTACACCAACGTTTCTAGTCCCGAAGCGTTGGTCTACACAAGTCTAAGTGTGTATCCCCGGTTCTAGCATCAACTTGGCGAGCCACGGGACGGCTTTCAGCTCTCCCATAGTAGAGTACTAAGTACTCTAAATCGTTAACCACTTTTTCTAAACACACAGTACACTGATGTTTTAGGGAGTGCCAAACAAGTGTGAGGCCCACGGGACGGCTTTTTAAGCTCTCCTATAGTAGAGTACCAAGTACTCGAAATCGTTACTTCTTTTTTCTAAACACACCATAATGTTTGGCCTGTAAAGTGGGTTACTTCTTATTTAGGGACGGCTGACTGCTCTCCCATAGTTGAGTACTTGAGTACTAAGTACTCGAAATCGCTAAACATTTTTTTTCTGAAACCTCCCATTTCACTGTTCTGAACAAGCGTAGGCTTTTCTTGTCTACTTCCGTTTAGGGGCGGCTTTCAGCTCTCCCGTAGTAGAGTACCGAGTACTCTATAAGGTCAACCACTTTTTCTAAACACACATTTGATTTGATTGTGGTCATGGACCTCATCAAAGTGTGAGGCTCACTCGGCAGCTTCATGCTCTGCTATAGTGGAGTACCTATGCTCGGGCACAACTTTCTGTGGCAATGAAGGAAGGCTACGTGGGCGGAGCTAGACTGCTCCTGTACTACTCCGCGAAGTAGTCCGGTTTAGCTCGCGTTTCCTATGACGGCCGCGTTCATGTAATCTCACTGCACACAATTCGATAAGCCTGATTACACAGCCATTTGTGGCAGAAATTTGACACAAGCTCCTTGGGTGAGTCGTCGGAACAGCTGCAGGGCGACGCCTGCTTCACCTGAAGACGAAGACTCCATTTTGACTGTCGGGTGCACGTAAAACGTGCGACGTTTTAAGACTCGCAAAAACGGAAAGTGACTCGCCAGAAAGCAACGACGAATAATGGTATTTCTTCGGCGTCTGCAGCGTCTCTTTATAAATAGCAACCAGTAGAAAATATTGCTGTCCTTTTTTTATTGCTTCCACGCGAAACACACGGACAGGTTTGTGGCACTATATGGCCGCGAGGGTCTCCATATAGGCCAGCACTGCAATCGTTTTGACGTCACAGATAGAATTCAGTAGCTGTAGAATACGGCAGCTTTCCTTTCGCGACACCACTTGCATCTTCCCCCACGACTGTACTGGTTCTTAGTCGCGATTTTTCGATGCAAATTAGACACGAGAGTGCCACCGGGGGCACCGATTCGTAGTTTGCTTACCCGTATTATCAGGTCTTACCATTTCCTTAAGCACCGAGCTTCAAAACAAAGGGAAGTACACACAGTAAAAGTGCAGGAAATGCAGTATTTTAGCAGACAACACAACCCGGCATCCAATGAGTGACGTCATCATGTAGCTGACGCCACGGTGTGTCCTCGAGGAGGCACATGCCCATTTTGCCTCCCTTCATTGCCACAGAAAGTTGTCCCCGTGCTCTAAATCACCACCCGCTTTTTCTAAACACACATGTACATTCAAAACGTCGTGTGTAAATTTAGCTCTTTCATAGTAGAGTACCTGGCACTATAAATCTTTACTCACTTTTTATAAACACATATGTACCTTTTGCCCCATCTGCGGTACTTTTGCTTGAAACTGGGACAGTTTATAGCTCTCCCATAGTGCAACACAACGTACTGTAAATCATCGAACATTTGCTTTAAACACTTCTTTTCGGCATCTTATTCGGAACGCAGTGATCTTCGGTACTACGCTGAAGAATTCACATTCAGAGACATGAATATAATCTATTTATGGATTTTTTTCTGCAAACGTTGATAAAATTTCCAGCATATTTTCCTGCACAGAAGTACTAATTTGCGCCCCCATCCACGCACAGAGATGCTATAAATACTCGTGTCTGACGTACTGGCGACTTTTGAAATCATGACTAGCCCCTCCACAGCCGCACAACAAAAGCATGACTTTATTATTTCATGTACTGTCAGTACACTGCACATTGTGGGCTTCAAATCTAGCACTAATGGTGAACTAGAAATCACTCCGCGTAAATATCAGAAACAAATCCGAAGGGATATGATTGCGTGGGGCATGCGCCAGAACCGATTGCAACAGATGAAGGTGCGCTGTGACTGCTAATTATTGGTCATAATAGGAGAATATAATCATTCCTTAAAAAACTGCAATATCGCGATGATTCCTTTTTTTTTTCCTTTGGCTCAAAGTGACAGGCGAAAATTCCTCGCAAAGGGAAAAATTCCCTGCACGGAACATCACTGTCGGGACGGCTATCAGCTCTCCCATAGTAGAGTGCCGCAAACCTTATATTGTGAAACACTTTTTCTAAACACACATTTTGGAACAAAGTTGGAACCCGCTGTGTGCTTCAGGGAGCTCCTATAAATGGGTACAGAGGGCTCTAAATTGTTCATAGTTTTTTAAAACACAAAGTAAGATTGAGCACCGCCCTGTAAAATACCGTGACCACCCACCCGACCTTTCTCTTACAGCTTATTGTCCCAATGGGCCAAGACAGCCAAAGCGTCTTGCGTAACACCGTTGCACTTCACCCACCTTTACTTCGATCTCGCAAGTGCGCATCTGATTTATTTATTTCAAATTGCCCCCCCCCCCCAGAAAAAATTGTGAACCTGCTCGGCTCCACGGGCAGCGATGAAACTGCGAAGGTAGTGGCCTTCCTTTGATGAGGCTATCGCATTGCTATGTCCTGCAGGTTTTTCAGATACGTTCTATCACTGCTGTTTATTAAACACTCCTTGCGAAGTTTTGAGGTGGTGATACAGTTAGCACCTTTATATCAACGAAGTATCACGTCACAGTAACGTGACTCTGGTAACGCGTCTGCCGTTCGATGTGTTAACTGTGACCCTCTTCCTTTTCAGGGGAAGTTCTGTGCAGCGGAATTCGCCCATTTATGTGTCAAGTGCGCGTTTATGATTATGATAGTTTTCTGATAGGCCCCATAAATTCCAGTGGCACATACTCGTTTGTTGGGCTAACTGTTGCTTTTGTTGATTTTTAGTGGACCAGTGGTACATAGCGTGAGTTACCCAGTTTCTCTCTCGCGTACCTGATTGTGATGACCACCAGAGTTACCATGGCTTCCTAAAATGAATGTCTTGACTAAAACACCATCACTGTTTAAATTGGTTTAAACCAGGTTGCTCTCGACACCGCCCTTAACAATATTCTTTTGTGGTGTAACAAATGGGGCATGGTGCTCAATTTCAATAAATCTGTTTGCCTTCGAATTTCTAACAAGAAAAATCCCCTTCAGTTTTCCTATTCCTCCAAAAGCCAACCCTTAAAAGAAGTCAGTAAATACAAATACCTAGGTATAACGATAACGAATAAGTTGTCCTGGAATGCACACATTGCCGATGTTTCGTCATCGGCTTTCCGTAAACTGTGCATTTTAAGGCACAAACTCAGAGACGCCCCGTCGCAAGTGAAACTATTAGCTTATAACACTTTAATACGTCCAAAGCTTGAATACGCTTGTATTGTATGGGATACGCATACTAAGTCTAACATATATTCCCTCGAAAAGATTCAAAGACGAGCAGTGCGTTTCATTTACTCGAAGTATGGTCGTGGTACATCAGTTACTGAACTAATGCGAGATAACGAATTCCAGACGCTACAATCGCCGCGCCAGCTTCTCCGTCTAAAGTTCTTGGACTCACTAATTAACAATAAACTTGGGCTAGACCCATCACATTACGTTACCCCAGTTTTGACCAGGCAAACTCGTCATTCTCATGTCCGATCTTTAACTCCGTATTTTGCGCGGACAGATTTATTTAAGTTTTCCTTTTTTCCGAGAACTGTAACAGAATGGAATAACTTGCCTTCTGATTTCCTCCAAACCTTCGATCTTGATGAACACAATGTTTAATTCTGTGAATCTTGACCCCCCCCCCCCCCCTCCCAATATCGCTTGATTTTTTTTTATGTTTCTCTTCTACTCGCTCTCCTCTTACACAGATGTATTTTAGTGAAGCTGTGTCACTCATGTACTGATCTTGTGGTTGTGTTTGTGCCCCTCCTGCTTGGGCCTTTTTGGTCTGCAGTATTCCACAAATAAATAAATAAAATAAAAATAGCCGGAGTGATACTAGCGGCACTCCATTTACTAGCACATAACGTCCGACTTGCGCTGATTTCGCACCTTAGGTGCCGGGCGTGCGGCTTTATCTTGACAGGTCACCGAAGCAGTTTAATTTCCTTGCCAACCACTGTAAGCCCAGATTAACTGCAAGTTTCGAACACTGACGTACATAATACTCGGTTTCCTTGTGGCTCCTCCACCATCAAACATACATGGCTAACTAAGTAATAGTTCAGCTCCGCGTCCGTGGCAGTGGGTTCACCTTGCCACCAGAAAACCCAATTCTGCTCCCCACAAAGCACCCCCCCCCCCCCCACTACAACGACCTCTTCTACACACACAGATCAGCACCAAGTTCAAAGGTCATTGCATTGTTTCTTTCCCAGCGCCTGGAAACGCTGGATAACGACGCATCGAAACAATTTTCACCAACTGATAAGTAAGGGCTCAATGACCCTTCAGCCACCGCTGAAGGCGGCGCGAAATTCACAGAGGCCGGGAAAGTTCAAACGGGATCAAAGAGCGGAAGCTCTCAATGAGCCGCGCCGGAAGTGACACCGGAAGCAACACTAAGGCCTGCGACCCCACCCCTTTTTCTTTTGCCATGTACTTGTTCGCTTTGACGGCTTTCACGTTCAGCGTCCATCGGACTCCACATTCCTGCAGCGCCCCCGGAGGTCTCAGGGTGGACACCGTTCGCCCCGTTCCTCTCTATAGTCAGACGTCCGTTCTCCGCGGCGCCCGCTGGAAGCCGAAGTCGACTGCAGGGCGATAAACAGGTTTATAAGAGACGAAGCACTGCCAGACGCTTTCCTTCGCACATACAAGGCCTTCCCGGTGTGAAGCTTGACCGATCTACTGCTTTCGTCTCTGATCTTCCTTATCAGGTGAGCCATTCTGTATTATCTGTCCAGAGTGCCTCGCCGTCTAGACGTGACAGTGACTTGGCAACTCTGTCTATCGCCCCGCATATAAGGTGTTATCGCCGTGTGCTTGAGAACGCGTGAACTCGACCTCGTATCTAATCGAGGTGCGAATTGAGTGTACGCAATATACCGAGGGCCCCCCCACGAGTCCCCAGCAATCAGCTTGGGAGAGGGGGGGGGCTCTCGAGTTATCTGCTACTGCAGGCGAAGGACTAAAGCTTGCTGATTACAGGGAAAAACGCGTGGTGAGGCTCAACACGAGGCTATGAAGATTGTGTGCACTCGTGTCCTTCACCTGAATATTTATTCTCTTACATGCGTTAAACAAGCCAACGTTTGCCTAAAAGAACAACCCAGTTCGCAACAGTTATCTCTCATTCATCGAACTATTGTCTTACATTCCACCAAGATCACCAAATTTTTCCCTGATTTTTTTTCTCGAATGAGACATAACTATTTGCTTCCGTGAAAGTGTCCATTGTCAGCGAGTTCAAGCGCACAACGCCTATCACGAGGAGCAGCACAGCTGTTATGTGCGATTCTTTAGGAGTTGCCAGCCTGCTTCTTCTTTATTTCATTCTTCGGTATTTATTTGCGCGTATTTTATGCCTAACAGTACAAATAATGCACTCAGAAAGAGACGGCTTAGTTATTTCAGCTCTCTAACAAGATTTTTTTGTACATGTAGTGCCCAAATTCTTGCGCGAACATTTTCTTTACGACGATAACACGGCCTCGCTTGTTCCTGAGAGTACGAAGGAGAAAAACTAATAGTGGGAATTGAGGCCATACGTCTAAGTGATTGAGGCTTACTTTATGCTGCTACTGTTCTACTGATATTTAGTCGTGCACAATTCAGGAGCAACGAGAGCACTCAAACTATCAAGATAAAGTGAAACTTACACCCCTCCGCGGTGGTATAGTGGCTGAGGTACTCGGCTGCCGACCCGCAGGTCTCGGGATCGAATCCAGGCTGCGGCGGCTGCATTTTCGATGGAGGTGAAATTGTTGTAGGCCCGTAGGCTCAGATTTGTGTGCACGTTAAAGAACCCCCGGTGGTCGAAATTTCCGGAGCCCTCCACTACGACGTCTCTCTTTGTCATATTATGGTTTTAAGACGTTAAACCACAAATATCAATGTGCAACTTGTATATATCACTGTTACAAGCTGTCACTCGAGCGTCGCTGGCGGGAATGACAGCAGGTTAGTTCGTTTCATACGCAAGTAGAGCAGCGAAGAGATCAGAGACGCATGTGGGACTACGAAACGACAGATTTATTAACTCGTATCAGGCACAAGGAATGTAACACTTTAACAAAATACAAAACATACAAATAAAGAGAAAATAACCGAGCTTACAAGCAAGCAGTATTAACATAGGCTCCCAATACACATAAAAGAAATAAACAGTTAAAAAACAGCAGCTAAAAACGCGAAAGTTCATGAAGTATTAACAGGTGATGGCGTATACGTGTGATGACCGACAGCGTTGCAACGCTGATGTTTCCGGGAGTTGGAGCTTGACTGTTGACCCAGGCAGGCTGAGGTAACCAGGTAACCTGAGTTGAAGTGCCGATGTCTAGGAGGCAGACGTTGATTGCGCGCCACAACTAGACGAACGGCAAAGTTTAGGTGGACCAGCCGATACAACGCCACACTAAATCTTCTAGAAGCGATACTCGATGATCTTCTTCTACCCCATCTTGCAAAAGCAACCAGACTGATTAGCAGGGACAATATCCTGCGCTTAAAACCATTCGTGTCTCCTCCATCCTCTTCTCGGAGGAAAAGAGGACCATCGACATGAGTTCAACCATGCGCATGGCATTGTTCAAAGCTCCCCCCTAAAATATATTCCAATCACCCTGCTTTTCCATAAGCGGGGCATGTTCTCAGCTGGGGGAGGGTTAAAACTTGTGAGGCGATCGCCTACATCTCGCCGGCGTATTACTTCTACCTTGGGAGGGGCTAGCACCCCGGTTTTCAGCCAGTGCGCCGGGGGGCCCATACTTTCTTCCTCTCTTCAAGAATGACTACCTGCACCAACCGTACTTCAGTTCGGGGAACTTGGCGGTTGCCTCCCGTCGCGACTGACACAAAAGAGTTGTTCCTCGGTGGTGGACGTTTGAGACGAACACCCCCGCCAGGCCTTGGCGGCTTAAAAAGAAGACACTCTTTGGATGCCTAAGCGGTCAGGTCAGGGGAAGAAGAGCGGCGCCTGTTAACTCAGCGTGACGCCGGGTCGTAAAAATGGCAGTCCGTGACAATACCAAAGTTGCATCGATGCCAACATGCTAGGTCGTTGCTCTTCGGAACAAGAGAAATAAAAATCATCTCCATCTCCATCTAATCTCACTAACGCTAAATTGCTAGATAAAAAAAACACGTTATTCTGGGCTTCAAGCTCACTGAACACGTGCTGATTCTTACCTATCTGCGTTTCAGGTGACACTGTCAGTCAAACTCACTTTTTTTTTTTTGCTCCCGATGACGCTATTTTCCACAACATTTTTCACCTCATTTCATAACTATCTTTTATCGTCACAACAAAATTTTAAAATAAGTAAGTCTGGAGTGCATTGCAATATTTATTTTGCTATTTACGGCTACCTTTGTAGTGCTGCTTCGTTACAGCCCACATCGTGACATCTTTCGCGCTTTTAGTTTCGTTATAAAATTGATAAATGTCACTGGAATGAAGCACAACCAACCTAAGTTCGTATTTAGTTCGCTATAACCTTATAATTCCCTATATGAATGTTTTCAATGGAATTGAATTTGATTTATCTGTTTTTACAAGTGTGCGGACACTGTGAAAATGCATAGCTAGTTTAAGCAAAAAAAAAAGCGATAATGGCACTTCAGTAAAGCGCAACACTATGAAGTTATATAACATCGAATAAATGGTACATACAACAAAAAATAAAGCACATGAAATAACCACACTAATATACCCACAGGACAGAAGAATAAATAGATAAATAAGTAATAAAATATAAGAACTGGTCGTAGACTAAACATTACGTGCCAATGAAATATCGATTTTCGAGTGCTCTTGAAGAATTTGAACACTTCATTTCAAAAGGTATAACATTCCAGGTTTTAATACAAGTAAACTGCAACAGACGTTCGCCATATACACTCTCAGTCTATAGAATATTCCGCTTACCGAAGGTTAGTTGTCGGTTAAAAAGACATGGGATGCGAAACAATGGCACGTTAGAAGGGTGGTTGTGATTAGCAACAGTGTGCACATGTTTGGTTGGTTACAATTTCCCTAGAAGGTCGGAGGGCGTATGATAACTAATCGGGGAAACAAATTTTTGTCATTATGAGTTGAATGAGTAATGATTCTCACAGCACGTTTCTGGAGTCGTCTAACCAGGTCCAGGTAAGTTCACATCCATAGGAGCGAACCTGCCAGCGTCCAGTTATCTTTTCGTCCACTTTTCTTTCTTCACATTATACTGAAATTACTATTATTGACATCCCGTATACTTTCCTTGGCATTGCTGTCTATCAATTCTCATAGTTAGTGTGTCTAGCGAAAAACCTCCTCCAATATACACTTCTTTTCTGCAAGGAGAACGAGACGTTCTGAATAGCATCCGCACGTCGCAGTGGTCGGAACAGATCTCTGCAACCTACAGAGCGACCATGGCCGCCTCTCTGCTCAACCCGGCGGTGCTCCAGGATCTGGCACTGAGCTGGCTGCGCGAGGACCAGCCCAGCCTCGACGTGGGTCTGTACGTGGTTGGCGAGGCCGACTGCACCGCCTACCTGTGGTGCAAGAGTCCCGGAGTGCTGGCGGGAGTGCCATTTGCCAACGCTGTTCTAGCGCAGCTGGACTGCGACATCAAGTGGCTGCGCAACGAGGGCGAGTGGTTGCACCCCGTCGCCAAGGTGGCCGAGGTACGCCTACGCCGTTTTTTTATATATTTTACTTGGAACCCACTGGGAAGTGACCCAGGAACTTAGGTGGTGGCAGTGTGTCACACACTTCGGCTGAGGCCCTGCCGATCTTTCATCGACGTGCGGCAGACCCGCAGGCTTCCACTTTACACTTCGGCCTGCGACGTCGCCTGAAAGGCCTCGAATTGGTACATCTCAAATTTTTTGGAGGTTGGTTGACCCGTGTGGGGTTGCACATGTCGTGATGTATGGGCCTGACCGACGTACTCATTGAGCAGACACAGAGATTTCATGCAATTCAAACAAGCATTTAATTAAAACAAGGGCAATAAGCAAGATATTACAAAAATAACAAAGAAAAAACACTAATACTCGATGAAAAAAGAACAAAGCGAACTATGCTCTAAAATAACACTACAACAGGTACAGACAAAACACAAATATGCGAAATGTTAATAAAATAACAACATTATGGAAAGAAAAGAGGGATATAAGGAAATAACTACGAAGCAAGATCATGCTCGCGCTTCTGAGTTGTCGTGCGACGCAGCGCACGCTGCAATTATTGAAAAGCTGGTTATAATATAATATAACAGTTTAAAAAAAAAGGCACAACAAAGAGTTCCATACGGACCAGGCCAGCTCTTGATACACGTAGGGGAAGCTTAGTAGACGACGAAGGTGCCCGGTTTTGCAGCCATCTCAATACGTTGCACGGGTCACTCCACACTCACCGCCTACGCGAGCCTCGCGACACCGAAGACCACGGTTCTTGCTGGTTGCACGTACACTGCCGGTTTTAAACAGTCATAACTCTTTCGGGACGTCCCGTCCCCTCTCGAGGCCATTTCTTTTTTCTCGAACACGTGTCTCTCCTTTCGGTACAGGTGTAGGGAAGACGCGGCGGCGCCGCTGCTGCGTCGTTAGTCGCCGGAAGTCGTCTTCCCAACACAAAAGCGCCCTTCCTTGGGTGATGGGGAGTGCGAGCGAAACGAAAATTGCAGTTGTTTGTGACACATTGCTAATGGGTCTATAGAAACCGATTCCTTATATGGTTGCAGAGTTAAGTTTGAGTTTCTTAGCAAGGAAGCAGCAGATATGGCCAAAAAAGCGAGGAAAAGTTCGATTGCATAGAAGGCTTTATGTAACTCTCCTTTTTGGCACTCGCCATAATATATAGTGAGCTGCTTTTGAGGAACATTCCTAGACTCGCTACAGCAAGGGAAAAAGAGAAGAGGCTTAGCGCTCTTGAGTTAAAGAGCTTTGCTTGAACGTTCGCCACAGCTTCGCATGAGCAGGAGTCCATCGGGAGGGGCAGGCAACCCTTTTCGGCTTGAGCTTCGCCGGACGCCCAACTAAACGCGTCTTTTGATGGAGTTACGGACAGCGTCACCTCTTCAGGCCGCTATCAGCGAACTATCAACACCTCTGTTGGAGTTCGTGGGCTGAATCTGTCTCAGCCGTTTTAAATAACATATCTTTTCTGCGTTAGTTAAAAAATAAGATTCCCAACATACACTTTTGCCTCGGTGTTGCGGTCGTCCACCAATGCACTTTCTTTTTTTTGCGCACCATTTCACTGACGTGGACGACACCGCACAGAATGCAAGACGCACCGCACATCACTGTCACACCATGACGAAAGTCATATCTCGCGCACTAGGCCGTGGTCTCACACACTCATACATACGAAAATAAAATGACAAAAATAGTGCACAGTTCAAAGCTAACGCACGTAAGCATCCTTTAATGCCACGTATTCGAACATACAAGCTGTAAGCGCTATGGAAAAGTCACTTATTGAGGCGTTAGAAACCAAAGAAAGGAAAACGAATAAAAAAATCTGGATGGCCGTTTGAGCGAAGTTTCACTGGGATACAAAAGAAGCTTTCAAGAACACCCCGTCATATTTATTACGTATGTGTGCCGTGATAGGCCTCGAACACAGAAGTAAGTTGACAAACTCTTCAAAGCAGCCTAACATTTCAAAACATAAATCAATGAAGGTATCTAAAACAAAGCTTCCCTAACTGTACGTGTAATAAGTTTAAACAAGAGAACATCGTCTAGAAACACACAGACGACACAAGAAAATCAATAAAAAAGCTAAGCGATTGCTCTCAACAGTTATCAAATGTTTCAAAACCGAATTACAGAAATGAACATTGTTTCAAAAATTATCTCGTCAGCCTTGAAGGTTACGTTTACGTTTGGATCTGCGTACACATAACTTTTATCCGTGCTCCAGCTGGCCGCGCTTTTGCGGGAGCCGTTCGAAGCAAGCAGCGCAGACAAAACAGTGGATGGCCGCTACATGGACGCCTGTTTCCCGTTAGTCTACACCCCGGAGGCATGCCTTCATCGACGCCACGTTCTACGAAAACGGGTCTCCGAACCACGTCGTGTCACTCGGTCGCAAGGTGCTGCTTCGCCATGCACCCCGCCCTTCGAGCAGACAATGGAGCGAAGGACGTTGGCTCTTCCAAAGCTCCGCGAACAAATGTCTGCCTCACCCCTCTACCCATCGGGCTGTTTGGAGCATGGTGACCCACTCGACTGGCGAATGCCACAAAACGCAAACGAAGCTTTCGTTGCGTTGAATGCCGTTTGACAATTCGCGATTTTCCGGGTTGCTTTGCACCCTTCGTTTACCTCCTGCTTTTGCGGCGTCTTTTTATTTTTGCACGTTGCCCAGTGCTCGCTTTCGAGAAGTCCGCTTGCAACATTTGCAGAGCAGCACTTGTTTCGTCTGTCTCATCTGCTGTAATGTCTATACAGTCGGGATTTTTCGTTAACTTGCGGACACCCTGACTTGCAGGAAACTTGACTGACTGCTGAACAATGCAAGCGTCTTCCTCATGGCTGCGCCGCTTGCACATGAAAGAACTACTTGCTCCAATATCGCCCAGCTTACAATGGGCGTCAACACACGACTCTGTCCCGCTGTCTTTGCAAGCGTCCTCGTCTGCCGGGCCAGTTGAACAGTGAACATTACAGTTAGGTCTCGTTCTCACAGCCGTCAAACGACCCGTCGCGTTGTGTGGTGACGTCAAAAAAAAAAAACGTAGAGATTACGTGACAGATCTGTGTATGGACAGACGACGGTGGTGGCAAGGCCGACAGCAGCACATTTTCGTGCACGATAATTCCTTTCTCCATGGCCATGCAAACACCCAGTCGTTCTATTTCCACGTTCTTTTGTGCTCTCCGCGATTTATTCCGTTCGTCAGGTGCGCCGAGGGGGAACCGGCCCTGGTACAATGAGGTGGGGTTGCCTCCCGTCGCGACTGACACAAAAGAGTTGTTCCTCAGTGGTGGACGTTGAGACGAAACCCCCGCCAGGCCTTGGCGGCTTAAAAAGAAGAAACTCTTTGGATGCCTAAGCGGCCCCATGGTCAGGGGAAGAAGAGCGGCGCCTGTTAACTCAGCGTGACGCCGGGTCGTAAAAATGGCAGTCCGTAACAATAACGAAGTTGCATCGATACCAACATGCTAGGTCTTTATATCCACTGTTCTTCGGAACAATACAAATAAAAATCGCCTCCATCTCCATCTAATCTCACTAACGCTAAATTGCTAGATAAAAAAACACGTTATTCTAGGCTTCAAGCTCACTGAACACGTGCTGATTCTTACCTATCTGCGTTTCAGGTGACACTGTCAGTCAAACTCACTTTTTTTTTTTTGCTCCCGATGACGCTTTTCCACAACATTTTTCACCTCATTTCATAAATACCTTTTATCGTCACAACAAAATTTTAAAATAAATAAGTCTGGAGTGCATTGCAATATTTATTTTGCTATTTACGGCTACCTTTGTAGTGCTGCTTCGTTACAGCCCACATCGTGACATCTTTCGCGCTTTTAGTTTCGTTATAAAATTGATAAATGTCACTGGAATGAAGCACAAAACCTAAGTTCGTATTTAGTTCGCTATAGCCTTATAATTTCCTATATGAAGTTTTCAATGGAATTGAATTTGATTTATCTGTTTTTACAAGGGTGCGGGCACTGTGAAAACCCATAGGCTAGTTTAAGCGAAAAAAAAGGATAATGGCACTTCAGTAAAGCGCAACACTATGAAGTTATATAACATCGAATAAATGGTACATACAACAAAAAAAAGCACATGAAATAACCACACTAATATACCACAGGACAGAAGATAAATAGATAAATAAGTAATAAAATATAAGAACTGGTCGTAGACTAAACATTACGTGCCAATGAAATATCGATTTTCGAGTGCTCTTGAAGAATTTGAACACTTCATTTCAAAAGGTATAACATTCAGGTTTTAATACAAGTAAACTGCAACAGACGTTCGCCATATACACTCTCAGTCTATAGAATATTCCGCTTACCGAAGGTTAGTTGTCGGTTAAAAAGACATGGGATGCGAAACAATAGCACGTTAAAAGGGTGGTTGTGATTAGCAACAGTGTGCACATGTTTGGTTGGTTACAATTTCCCTAGAAGGTCGGAGGGCGTATGATAAGTAATAGGGGAAACAAATGTTTGTCATTATAAGTGGAATGAGTAATGATTCTCACAGCGCGTTTCTGGAGTCGTCTAACCGGGTCCTGGTAAGTTCACATCCATAGGAGCGAACCTGCCAGAGTCCAGTTATCTTTTCGTCCGCTTTTCTTTCTCTACATAATACTGATGTTACTATTGAGAACATCCCGTATACTTTCCTTTGTATCGTTGTCTAATACTTGTCATAATTAGTGTGTCTAACAAAAAAAACCCTCCAATATACACTTCTTTTCTGCAAGGAGAACGAGACGTTCCGAATAGCATCTGCACGTCGTAGTCGTTAAAAGAGATCTCTACAACCTGTAGAGCGACCATGGCCGCCTCTCTGCTCAACCCGGCGGTGCTCCAGGATCTGGCACTGAGCTGGCTGCGCGAGGACCAGCCCAGCCTCGACGTGGGCCTGTACGTGGTCGGCGAGGCTGACTGCACCGCCTACCTGTGGTGCAAGAGTCCCGGAGTGCTGGCGGGCGTGCCATTCGCCAACGCTGTCCTAGCGCAGCTGGACTGTGACATCAAGTGGCTGCGCAACGAGGGCGAGTGGTTGCACCCCGTCGCCAAGGTGGCCGAGGTACGACTACGCCGTTTTTTATATATTTTACTTGGGAGCCACTGGGAAGTGACCCAGGCACTTAGGTAGTGGCAGTGTGTCACACACTTCAGGTCAGGCCTCGCCGATCTTTCATCGACGTGCGGCCGACTCGCAGGCTTCCAGTTTACACTACGGCCTGCGACGCCTGAAAGGCCTCGAAGTCGTACATCCCAAATTATTTGGAGGTTGGTCAACCCGTGTGGGGTTGCACGTGTGGTGATGCATGGGCCCGACCGACGCACTCTTTGAGCAGACACAGAGATCTTATACAAATCAAACAAGCATTTAAATAAACAAGGGCAATAGGCAAGAGATTAAAAAAAATAATAAAGAAAAACACTAATACGCGATGAAAAAAAAACTCAAACTATGCCCTAAAAGAACGCTACAACAGGTACAGACAAAACACAAATGTGCGGAATGTTAATAAAATCACAAAATGATGGAAAGAAAAGAGTGATATAAGGAAATAATTACGAAGCAAGATCATGCTCGCGCTTCTGAGCTTGTCGTGCGACGCAGCACGCACTACAATTATTGAAAAGCTGGTTATACTATAAAATAACAGTTTAAAAAACACAATAAAAAGTTCCATACAGACCAGGCCAGCTCTTGGTACACGTAGGGGAGTTGACGGGTGCCGCTGAAGACCTCGCCAGCTTAGTAGACGACGAAGGTGCCCGGTATTGCAGCCGTCTCAATACGTTGCGCGGGTCACTGCATACTCGCCGTCTACGCGAGCCTCGCGACACTGACGACCACGCTTCTTGCTGGTTGCACGTCAACTGCCGATTTCAAAGCAGTCAAAACTGTTTTCGGGAATCCCGTCTCCTCTCGAGGTCATTTCTTTTTGCTCGAACACGTGTCTCTCCTTTCGGTACAGGTGTAGGGAAGACGTGGAGGCGCCGCTGCTGCGTCGTTAGTCGCCGGATGTCGTCTTCCCAACACAAAAGCGCCCTTCCTTGGAAGATGGGGCTCGCGGGTGAAACGAAAATTGCAGTCGTTTGTGACACAGGGCTAATGGGTCTGTAGAAACGGATTCCTTACATGGCTGCAGACTTATGTTTGAGCTACTTAGCAAGGAAGCAGGATATGTGGCCAAAAAAGCGAGGAAAGGTTCGATTACATAGAAGACTTTATGTAACTCTCCTTTTTGGCACTCGTCATAATATATAGTGAGCTGCTTTTGAAGGACATTCCCAGATTCGCTACAGCAAGGTAACTACAGAAGAGGCTTGGCGCTCTTGAATCAAACAGCTTTGCTTGAGCGTTCGCCGCAGCTTCGCATGAGCAGGAGTCCATCGGGAGGGGCTGGCAACCCTTTTCGGCGTAAGCTTCGACGGCCGCCCAACTAAACACGTCTTTTGATGGAGTTACGGACAGCGCCACCTCTTCAGGCCGCTATCAGCGAGCTGTCAACACCTCTGTTGGAGTTCGTGGGCTAAATCTGTCTCAGTCGGTATAAATAACATATTTTTTTATTTTATTTTAAGAAAATAGGATTCCCATCATAGACTTTTACCTCTGTCTCGGCAACTCAGTCATGCTTGTTGCATTTCATTGTCACTTTCTCTTTGCATCCATTGGCTCCTTGACCAGGCCCGGCGAGCCGTTATAGCCAGTGGAGCTCTGGACGAAGGGCCCCACCCACTTTAGCTACTGACAGCACTAATGAACGTCTGTTCTCCCTCTCTCTCCTTGCACTCGCAGGTGACCGGCCAGGCGCGACGATTGCTCCTCGCCGAGCGCGTGGTGCTCAACTGCCTGGCTCGCGCCAGCGGTGTGGCGTCTTCTGCCCGGCGAATGCGCGAGGTCCTGAACGGAATCCACTGGGACGGCGTGCTCGCCGGCACGCGCAAGACAACGCCCGGCTTCCGCCTCGTGGAGAAGTACGCGCTGCTCGTCGGCGGAGCAGACACGCACCGCTACGACGTCGCCTCCATGATCATGCTCAAGGACAACCACCTCACCGCCGTTGGGTTCCATCGAGAAGGTCAGGGCGTCTGTTGTCATACCCACTCGCATATGCTCATGGCCCACCAATGGACTGTGGGAGAGTGCAAAAGAAAGGCTGCAATGATTTACCGGTTCTTGACTTAAGCTCTCGTGTTACGTCTTTCACGAGACGCTTGCATAAGCGTGTGCAGGTGTCTCCATTAGGCCAATCAAGCTTTTTAGCCGAACCCAGTAGCGTATAGCTAAGGGGTGGCAAACCAGGCCCATGCCTCCTTCCCCCAAATTGTTTTCGCCATGGCATACAGAGCGAAAAGTGACCATTTCAACGAGGTGCCCCCCTCCCCCCATTCGAAAAAAATTCTGCTTACACCTCCCAGCATCCGCCCGCTTCCCTTGTCGCCCTGTCCGAAATAAAGCGAAACGGGTTCCGCAATGATGTATGCAAAAACAAAATGAAGTGGTTGGTGACGAGCTTCCCTTATCGGTCTGCCATTTGTGCCCGGTTTTTCGGGTGTAAATATTCGAAGTAAACGGTTCTTTGAAAGTGACGTCAGTTGTTCTTGATCGTCATTGTAGTAAAAAAAAAATCTCACAGAACTGGGCATATATTAAGTTGTATGGGTAAAGCCTAAGCCTACCGTCACACAGAGGACAACGTTATACATAGAGGATGGCGGGCAGCGCCTTGACCACAGTGGGAGGAATTAATGACCCACCTTCTACTATTTCATTAGACTTCCATCTTAATCTCCTTATTACCGTTATGTTAATTGCCGAAAGGTTATCTGTACATCAACAGGGATATTGTCTTGTTGCAGAACACCATAGACACTGAAGATAGAAAAAGAAAGATGATTGATCGCTCCATTATATATGAATAGATGTAACACGAGAGAAAAGCATGTTTTTACAGAACTAGTTGGTTATTTACAGTATATCAGTATAAGATAGCTGGTACAACGTCTACTAGTGTTTGACAGCTATAGCAACGTTTAACGTGGTTGCGTCCACATTTGACACTTGGTGGCATATTTTCATCCCGACGACTAACGTCCATGATCACTGCTTCAACAAACATTTGAGGTAACTGTATCATTTAACGGTGAGAGTGCAATCAGAGAAAGCGGTAAGACAGCCATAAGAGCGTCGCTGATTGGACGCAGAACTTGGGCTTACATCTCGATCCCGCGACGTTAAGGTGTTAACATAACGCCAAGACTGGACTAGAAGGAAACGCAATGCGCATCGTGTCTCCGTAGGACCGGCTCAAGGAGGTTTAAAAAAGTTTTTTTTTTTTTTGCTTGAACCAGCTGCGATTTTTCTCTGGGCTAGCATGAGCGGAGAACGCCTTGTTACATCCAGGAGTGTTACATCGAGGCACGCAGGCGTGCGTTGCAAACGGTCGCAAACAAGAAGATCTGCGTTTGATTCAGATAGATGCTATGAGCGATGCCTAAACTTGGCTAAGGTTGGCGTTGACAAAATTGCACTTCTATAGTAAACGCACCGAATGCTGCAGATGCGTAACATCGACGCCTTGCTGGAGCTATTATCGGAGGTCACCGTATGCATTACTTCACTTTACCGCTCCCAGACGGCAGCACCACCCTGCCGACAAAGAGGCAAGAACACTGAGAGGACATTGCGACGTTCTAAAGGCGACCTTCTAAAGTATCCAACGTGTGTGACGTGGAACAGAGGCAGCGTCTTCCCAGCAGGGGAACCTGCGTTCCTCGCATTGGCCCTTCCCAAGACCAAGGGCACGCAAAAATACCAACGTGCGCACGCGTCCCTTCAGCTGTACTTCAGCCGCAACCCATCTACTCATGCAGAGAGGGAGACACGCGCATCACGTTCTTTTTGACCAAAATCCTCTCCATATTGCTTTTCTTTTATCCGCCAGGGCGGTGTGTTCTGGCGCTGTAGTCAAACTAGGAAACGACTACGCGGTGAATATAGCGCGCCCGAGATCTGTTGTTGTGGGCCGAGAGGTCATGGGTTCCACTCCCGACGACAAACTTTTTTTTGTGGTTGTATCCATTTTTGACGTCATTTTCGTCACAGAAATACGTCGCTTGAGTATCGGGGGATTTCAGCACAAAGCACTTTGATGTTAACAAAACCATGTGTAGTCATAACTCTGCACAATAACAAAAGATGTATTAGTGAATGCATGGGGCAGAATTCGTCTCCTTTCATGAGTGGTGGTGCTGTCTTTCCCATGCTCGTGCCCGTGCACGTTTTTATTTGTCTGAAGGAGTAACTTCTGGTCAGTGCACAGATGCGGGTTCAACTGCTGTAGTGTTCTGCATCAATCTGCATGGCGTACAGTTTAGTATACTGTTTCATTACTAATGTTATGTTGGGCTGTTGATCCGAGCTATTCGAGCATGGCCTTATAATGGTATACAAGCCCTCATTTTTTGTTTCTTCAGTGTCGCAGGCTGTCCGCATCGCCAAGAAGATGGGCGGCTTCACACGGAAGGTTGAAGTTGAGTGCCGCTCCGTCGAGGAAGCCCAGCAAGCCGCTAGAGCCGGAGGTGACATCATCATGCTCGACAACTTCGAGGCCAAGGTTTGTTGTTAGTCAGTCTTACGGTGTTCTTTGGAGAAGCTGAAGACAATCAAGGTGATGTTTCAACTACTACTTTCTGTTTCATGAAGCGAAGCTTTTGAGTCACACATTTTTGGTGGCGGCGGTGTCATTCGTGAAAAACCTGGCACCTGCCAGTGTACAGAACAGCGAGTGACATTATGATGTCATGATGCCACATTTCATGGTTTCCGACTTATGGATGCATATACGTAATTGTTGCCAGTAAAATCTCAAGTGTTTCGGTGCTAAGCGTATGGATGACGGACAGATTTCCGGCATGGAGGAAGGAAACAGTTCGCGGAAGTAGCAGTGCGCAATGCGCAAGAAAGAAAAACCTACAAGGTTAGGCACATATGTACACGCCAAGTTTTGTCTGACCCTATTTCACCGTTAGAGCAAGGGCTTCAGATTTTAAAAGACGAAATTCTGCCTTGAGATAATTCAATGCAAAAATTTTGGTCAGTCTGTTTGTGTGTTTAGAAAACCTTTATTTTGGCTTAGTACGTAAAAGACAATTGGGCATGGCGTCTGTACAACAAGGACAGTAACATTTGGTCATTCCAGCGACGCAGGTGGTGCCATGCGGCTTTCCCACGAACTTGGCAAACAGTGATAAGTCTGCTACACAGTTCGGTCTCGCGGTATTCATAAGCGCTGATTCGGTTTCATCCAAATATCTATGCGTCTCGTTAGCGAGAGAAAGTGTGGCCTGCCGCGAAACTAGAGGGCCTGACGAGCTTTACTGCTTGAGACGCGCACATCAGCACCGTCTCGTCCACCATTTTGACTTGCCGTCACGCCACCTATAGTCGCTGGAATGATCGAATATGTCTGTCTTTCTGCTGCTGTCACTCAATTCAGTAGAATGGTGAAAGTTTAACCCCCTTCCAAAAAAACTAGCCATCTTGATCTAGTTTTCGCGTTTACACGTGTTGGCACAGTCCATTAAAAACAAATATACGCATATTTTGGCGCTACAACAGTACGGGGTCGTTAAGCAGTGCGTTAAATTATTTCTAAGATGCACAGATACGTAATTATAAAAGTCATAGTGCTTATTACGCAGCATTGGCAACGCGACGCCATGACTGAAAAACAGGTGTAGGCTGCGCTTCGCCAATACAAAGACTACATGGTGCTGCCACCTACCAGTGACTTTGCGTTCTATGGAGGACCAGCGCTGGATAGGTGGCGCGCCGAAAAAGAGCACCTGGCGGAGAGTCGCGACACAACTCAGCTGCTCGCGCCCAGACGACCGGCTGCAGTGTACCATTCGTGGAGCATGCGCGTGCACCGCTGCCTTGCTTCATTTTGGAACGAACAGCGGGAAAAGCCATTGCGCCAGTAATACTGCACTGTGATTTAGAAAAATAACTTGGTCCGAAGGGTATACCCTCACATAAAAAGCACTAAAAAATGGAGAGAAGCCCTGCAAAGCGGACTGCGCCTATGCACATCCAAGGGACAGTGATGTTGCCCTGATGGCAGCTCCCTCGTCCTCATTTACTGGTTGCGTGCTGGGTTTTGGGCTAATTCTAGTACTGGCTGACATGCCCTCATAGATAAGTCCGTGCTTCCACAATACCACGCTGCCAACATCTGCAGTAAAACAAAACAAAAACACAAGCAGAGTAAGTGGTAGCTGCGTCAGCTTTTAATTTTTTTCTGCCATTGTTTGTACGCACTGCCCGCGGTATGTATGCACAGGGACCTTGATCAAGCAAACTAACGTGGAACCATAACAAGTATGGTGTCGCGCTGCTATTCTTGAGGGAACGGAATAGATTAGCGACCATGAAGGCAGCACTTCGGTGGGGGTGAAATATAAAAAGAACACCCGTGAACCAAGATATATGTGCGCATTGGAGAACACCAAGAGGTAACAATCTTGATACGCACACTACAGCGTACCTCGAAATGATATCTTGTTTGGCACATGAAAGCCCAGCTATTATCGGTGTTGAACAACACCTTCATTTTAGGCCGACTCAGGCAAGCGCAAAAAATTAAACTGTGTGTTGATTGATTTGTGGGGTTTACTGTCCCAAAACCACCATATGATTATGAGAGACGCCGTAGTGGAGGGCTCCGGAAACTTTGACCACCTGGGGTTCTTTAACGTGCACCGAAATCTGAGTACACGGGCCTCGACATTTCCGCCTCCATCGGAAATGCAGCCACCGCAGCCGGGATTTGAACCCGCGACCTGCGGGTCAGCAGCCTAGTACCTCAGCCACTAGACCACCGCGGCGGGTAAACTGTGTGTTAGGTGAACTAAACAACGAGAAAAAAATTTAAAACATTTGATACTTTTCTAGCACGGCATCAATTCCGATGTTACTTGGCCACGGCAGCTAGTGAGAAAAACGCTTACCGCATCGGCTGACTCCACAAAGCTTACCTTCGAGCAGTCCGCTGCTTTGTTCGTAACAAGAACCATGTCTTGCACAAATTAAGTTAAACAGAGGCATCTCGGCATTGAGTGTTCACTGCGAGAGGATCTTTCATAACAGCTCAGATGCAGGAAAACGTGGCCCTGCAGAAGTCTTATGGCCAAGGCAGCCTTCCTTTACACGCAACTGTTTATAAAAAAAAATGTACCATCACTTCACGCGGTGGCATCAGATGGAGCTTGGTGGTGGTGATCAGATGAACGAACGCATGGAAATTTTGTTATTCCTGAAGTGCATGACTCAGCGGACCAAATAAAAAAAGTTTACATATGCCGTATGCTGCATAATACGCTGGTTTTATTACCGGCAAAACGCCGTTAAACTCGGCTGTTTGGTCCTGGTTTCCATTGGTGGCTGTGTTCACTATCGAATAAATATAGCATACACGCGCAATTCGGTTAACAAACGAGACCGACAGCAATAGACAGGGGAGAGCAGAATTTCGCTCGCCTGACCGCTTGGATGCAATGACACCTCCTCTTTCTACGTTCGCCCTTTCCTCTATACGTCCTCCTTCTTTTTATATATTGTTGCACTTGAATACGCAGCAATACAGCCCAGCGCCCTTTGGTTTTGTTACGGTGATGCGCGCACGCACCGCCTCTAGCAGCCACCACTCTCGTCTGTGCATGGGAGCAGCTGAGAAGTGCGCGCTCTCACCACCAGGGTGGTCGTGGAAACTCCAGCGCTTGTTCTCTATCACAGCTAGATGGCGCCTATATTTCACGCAGCGCCGATTTCCTCGCGCAGACGTCAAATAAGCCTTTTATTCTCTCTCTGAAGACAGAACCTTCTCTGAAGCAGACCTTCTTTGAAAAAGGTCATCTTTCGAGGATCTTTGCCAGCGCAGCACGCAAAGAAGCGGCCATTTTTTTAATGCGGAGCATTTCTCAGTCGCCGCATGTCGCGCTTCAGCGTCGGCGGTGGTGCCGTCCACACCCCCACTGCGCTTGCTCACGTCTCGTACCACATGCTCGTGCGAGCCCGAGAAAAAAAGAAAGGTTGAGACAAGGAATAATCGCAACTTTTGCAGCCCCTAATTAAGAGCACGGCATAGTTGCGGTGGTGGAGAAGGTGAAGCGAGAGAGAAGTGTGTTGCGAACGGGCGCAGGAGCCGGCAGCTACTGTGGGTGAGGGAGAGAGCTACCTCAACACGCAACTTGACCCACCTGGCACCGCTCCAACACCTGTGGTGAGGGGCTTGTGTGGGCACACGGGACAGCGTTACACAGGCTAGTCAAAGAGCTTTATTGCATCCCATAAAAAGTCACAGCTTTGCCGCTAAGGCGAGACAATGAACGTGATAGCAACAAATTGGAAAGTCACGCGCAGAATGGCAAGCCGATCGAAACGTGCCCCGCGTTTCTCACGCCGAAATGACACACGAAACGTACTTGGAGGTACAGATGAGTGCCAATAAGCATCTCAGTTGTTACTACTCTGTACCTGAAAAGCGCACCATTTTCGCAAACGGAGACTGTGCAACGATCGCAGTGACCATTGTGCAACCGGTAACTACAACAGAATTGTTCCGAAGAAAGTCCAAAGCCAGCCAAGACGTACGATCCTCCTCACCGCGAAATAAGGGTGCGCGTCCCCCCCTCCTCTCCGCGGCGCAAAGTACGCGTGGGAGAGATGAGAGCGCGCGCCGCCACGTCGTGACGGTGTGGCGAAGTGCACTCATTGCGCCATCTTGCTGGTAATGCTGAAAACGCGATAGTTCCCCCGAGATGCCCGTGAGCAGCGGTAAGTGATAGTATAGATAGCTTGCCCTTTGAACGTAGAAGGAGGTGCTCCTCCGAGTCTCAGTGGTTAACTCCTCGCACTCACGATTGAGACATCCTAAGCTCGATTCCGCACGCCGGAGTCTTTTTTCTGGATTATTTTTCTTTCTTGCGTTTACATATTATATAGATACGTATACATGTACGGTGAGCGACGCCGATGTAGACGTCAGCGGTGGCGGCAAAATCCTGCCGAGATTGTCCATACATTTGCTGTCGCAATGATGAAGACGAAATAGCAATTAGGCATCCCCAAACCATACCCATTACACAACATTCAGGCGATACCCCCCCGACTGTTAGACGCATTTACGCGAGTTCCCCCCGTGGGAAGATGCGGCGGGCAGATTTTGGCGGCGAAACTCCTCTTCATTCAACGTTGTCCTGTGTCAGGCATAACAGGCAGTATCAGACAGACAGACAAAAGAATTGACAAACAGACAGATTTTATTCAGCTGGTGGTTGTCGACTTCTCGTCGCCGCTCAGTGTAAACAGATTTGTGCTGCGGGTTCGCGCTGAGTGTTTATGCGTATACAGGTCTTGCAAACAACACCCACCGATAAGTTAGCATGATGAGATGTTGTGAAGCTAGGATTGAAGTCATGAGTTCGATTCCCGCGTATGCCAGCTGCATTTCCACCGAGAGCGAAACGCAGTAACAGTGCGCTCAGATTTTGGTGCAAGAATGATAGACAGGGCGTGTTGGGTGTTGCATATTTCAAGCGTACGATGGCATTACGCTCAATCTAAACAGAAGTGACGCTCAGTTGTCTGTGCGCCTCCATCGCGCCGTATACACTTCAAATAAAATCAGATGCGCGTAAAGAAAAAGAAATCGGCAAAGTGGCCCGAATCAATCTTGAGTCTCAAACCAGCGCGTGCGTCCTAAAGATATGGTGGTTTTGGCTCGTAAAATATTATTTATGTCCTTGTATGCGCTCGAATCGTGGGCGATGTATACAGCTGCCGCTATGAAAACAAGTTGAAAAAAGAACCAAGGCAGGTATAAAATTTTCGGTGTTTTCGCGAAATTTGACGCAGTTATATCAGAGGCGAATCTCGGCGTAATTAAAAACACACTCGATCTTAATGGGTATTGTGTGATAGGACGACAATCAAGCGAGCTGTCAAAACAACTTAATCGACATTCGAATCGTGGTACACGCTGCGTCATCAGGCGTGGATATACGAAATGAAACATAGCTGAAGACACGCATGGTCGAAGTGGACATAAATACTTTTTGTGTGCATCATTATACTTTTAAAGGAGCTGCAAAAAAGCAAAGGTTTCATTGAACTTACGATACGACCTTGTTAATATCCGATGAAAAGCTCGGCAAAAATGAAACTCTTATGAAACCGAACACACCGCATTGAAATGGTGCCAGGGACTGAACAGGGCAGACGAAAGTTTAGTCTCTTCACACTGGCCTCCTAGTGAATTTGGGTGCACGTTAAAGAACCCCAGGTGGTCAAAATTTCCGGAGTCCTCCACTACGGCGTCTCTCATAATCATATGGTGGTTTTGAGACGTTAAACGCCACAAATCAATCATCCTAGTAAATTGAAAGCTGCGTTACAAACTTGGCATTCAAGCAATAGAAATCCAAATGCTATATACAAGTGCACGCGAAAGCGTGGCGGTAGTTTGCCGACAGCTCCGATAAGACACGAATGACGCAGAAAATTCGCATTTTACCAGTAATATATATATAGAATTCGTACCTTCACCTCACTTTTAATGTCAAAGAAAAGCAGCTGTTCATCATCGACATTCGCATAGCACCCGCTCAAAGACATCATGTTTGACTTGCTTGGTTTCGCAAAGGTTGTCAATGAATCGCTCTCGGTTCTGATAAGATTCACACTGTGAAAGCGTTTTTATAATTTATTTAAACCTTCAGAGCAAGTCGCAGGTGACGCTGCATGTGGAGGACGAGCAGATAACAGCGCGTGCAGAGCGCGTGAACGTGCTGAGATAGTGAAGGCAGAAAAGGTGGGAGCTTTTGCTGGAAAGGCGGCGAAACGCGCGCGGCGCAGCGCCCCCTGGCTGAGGTTGAGAGGCCCATGGGTAAGACATCTGCTTCACGTGCATGCGGTCCCGAGTTCGATTCCAGTGCTGAGTGAGCATTGCATGTCAAACTGGCAGTTGTAGATTATTGTGACACCAATGGTTTTTTAATTACCTATAGTCACACTATCCACCGCATTATGGGCGAGGACCCACTCTCGAATGCCTAAAATAATGCTTTTTTCCGCCACCGCGTCAGGGCTAGGCCACCCACGTAAATGTTACGCCTAACCGCAGGCTGTATCTTGCCAGGAAAATTTGACTTAAAATCCCGGCTAATCCTCGTCCCGGCTATTCTGAATGGCCATTTCAAATCGGGCTGGTGTGTCTGGGACACGGCTACGGAGCCGCGTAGAAGCGGCCATAATCTGACTTGATTTCCTGCCTTCGGGCGTGTAGTCTAGCCAGGATTTGACGAAGAGTGTACCCTGTCATTTAGTCTGCCGGTACGAAGGTCTCGTTATTTGAAAATGAGAGGGGAATTTTTTCGGAGTGCTCATTTCTTTGTTACACACGACCCAGCGAATCCATGCAAGTTACAGATAAGGGAAAGCATAGAGGACGTTTATTGTTGTCTCTAACTGCAGTGATATAGGATGTACAACGCGCACAACTGTCGTTATAGTCAGCGCCAATGTATACGTGCTTCCACGCAGGACTTGTCCCCGGCGGCGCAGAAGCTGAAGACCGAGTTTCCGGGCGTGCTGGTCGAGGCCTCCGGAGGTATCACCTCCGAGAACGTGACCCAGTACGCCGTGCCGGGCGTCGACATCATTTCCTCGAGCCTCCTCATCCAGGGCTACCCCACGGTCGACTTCTCGCTCAAGGTCCAGCCACCCAAGAAGCCCGAGTGCTGAACTCGCCGCAGGTCCGGATGAAAAAGGAACAGTGGCGTCACGCGAAAGTGCTCGGCTCTTAGGGATAATCGCACAGTGTTTCAAAAACAAAACGAGGACACGAGAAGGCCACGTGAACACGCAAACGGGGAATGTTTTTCTTTCGACTTCGTTTTGTTTTCGCTGCGCAATGTATCTCAAGATTGCATGCCAGCAAACCCCACACTGTAACCTCAGCGATCGTCCCGATTCTTTTGGATCCCTATTATATTGGAAACGCGAGTATGCAATGAGGAGCGCCTTTCGCTGTCATCTTTTTTTTTCATGCGACTGCATCAAAGTATTCAACATTATTTTTTTCTTCTGAAATAAAGGTTTCGTGTGGCTATACCACGGCCATTCACGCAGAGTTTACTCAACGTTCCCTGCGCAGCTGCAAGATGGGATGCATGAGGTGAAACACTTTAGCGAGAACTGCAACATCTCAGCCGATATGCTGAAACGTCGAGTGGACATACAAATCATATGCAAGGCTAACAAGAGCACTCCTCATGAAAATACGACACAGAAGCACAGACAGTAATCAACATTATCCGCCGTGCTAGCATATTAACAAAGTTGTTGCGCTGCTGTGCTCGGTGCTCGATTTCAATACTCGGCTACGCCGGCCTCATTTCGATGGAGACGATATACAAGAACATTCTTGTACATAAATGCAGGCGTGGGTCAAATAGATGTGATTGGTCTTAATTCAGAGTTCCCTACTACTACTATATATAGTGAATTGGACATCCATATACGACTGACTGACGTCTGCAACCTGAGTGGCGTAGTAAGCACGCTGAAACACGACCTCCCCGCAGCCCACCACCAGCCGGCCCAGTATGGACTGTCCTGAACAACGTTTGTATAACTATTTTTCAAACAGGTTCTATAAACTTTGGTCTAAAAGGCCCGCCAAGCGGTTGAGAGGCTTGATCTCTCGGTCCCGATGAGGGGAGTGACCCACTGTGCATTGTAGGACTTGGTAAAGTTTTCCATCCATTCATCCCCCCCTGCGGCATGCTTTGTGAGGATATTCATGATGTAATGGTGCCATCTAAGCTTCACAGATGAAGTGCAGCTATATTAAAACTCTCGCGCACGCATGTGCGTTTGCGTGCGTGCGCTATTTAATGCGCAACGCTCGCACTTCTCGTGTGAAAATGCGCTATATGGTATTTACGTAAATATATATAAGTGGAAAGAATTTCCTCGTGGAATGTGTTCTACAAAAGTAGCAGGAGTACGCAAAACGGCTGCAATATGCTTGTGCCTTCCTCGACTGCGTTTCTTTCGAAGCTCTTCACAGGTCAAAGTATGAACCGTGTTTCCAAATCAAAGTGTGATAAAAAAATGACGTTATTGAACGCTAAAGTGCAAGGCATTCGCACGTGGCATCGTATAGCTAAATGTAAACGTCTCGAACGACGCTTACCTTTACAGTATAAGGGCAGCGCTTTGATTCCGGATGGCACGGCAAGTTTCCTTTTATGCTTACTTTAGTTACACGTACAGCTCCTACAAGAAATATTGTCATTTTGTCCTCACCTATTCGAATGTCAACGCTGGCATGGAAACAAGCAGATGCGCTGCCGCACGGTTTGTATAGGCACACTTATTACTAAAGGCATTAACATAGAGCTCCTGGAATTAGTACCAGACGTTATGTCATAAGTGCTACGAGCAATATCATCTAACAAGGTATATATAGGAAAGCATACCCAAAGGATTCGCGGTCAAATAAAGCATATCGTATAAGACCCATCGTGAACTTATTTACAGCGCAACAGCAGAAAACACAGACAGGGCAAGTCCTGATGGTGTTGCGCTGTAAATAAGTTCACGATGGATCCTAACCAACTGGCCCAACCTACCGTCTTACTGTATCGTATAAGTTCTGTACTTACGCGCTCCTGAAAAGAAGCTTTTATATGCTAAAATCTTTATTAGAAACAGGTTACATACACACTATTATCTGTGTCACGCTTCTTTCGTGTCATATAGACGGTGACAGCGTGATAATCACGTATAGGCACCCGACAGTGGACCATGCAGAGGGCGCGACGAAGCTTTTTGGGCCGCCTCAGCATCGTTGATACCGACCACCAGGGATATCAAGATAATGAAACTCAAATTATAACCAAAGCTCATAAAGACTTTCTAATATAATACACCCAAACCATTATCTGGGCGCCAGGGCACGAGGGCGTAAACGGGTATCAGTTTGCAGATGAGGCGGCTCAAGGCTTCACAAATTACCGAGCTTCCTTGCACACTGCAATAGAGAATCCAACGCCCCTAGACCCTAACTTTGGTGCAATGATTCAGCATTACAAGGACAATAGAAAACTGTACCCAGCACCGCATAAGAAACTCACAGCAATGAAATCAGTGACATTACGCAGAATCCAAACAAACACATACACGAACTTACACAGGCTACATGTGTTCTACCCCACAGCATAAAGAGATATATGTCCGTGGTGTGGGGTCACACCAATTCTGTTTCACATCAGATGGGAGTGTACAGATCACAATGAAGAACACCACAACATGAACGAAACAGAGGAGCAATGGGAGCCACTGCTGTCCAGCTCAGCCATTGCTGATCAGCACTGGCGGGTCCAACGGGTAGAGATGATGGCTATAGGGCCAGCGGAGCCCTGGAATAGGGGCCCGACCATTTGGAATGCTACTCGTTATGCGCAAATAAAATTATCTCTCTCTCTCTCTAGCTGAACACATTGAGACGCTGAAGTGTCAATGCCCTTCTGGTGTGTTTTCAAAGAACGCTTCCTGGACGCTTCCCCTGCTCATAACTAAAAAATAAAATAATATGCACGTGCAAGTCCAGTTTTGCTGCGTCTACTCGCTAGGCTGTGTTCTGGCGCTACCATCAGATCTCGTAAACTGCATTTCCGGGTGCCTACACGCCTTGTCTTCAGTGAGCCACAACGTACACCTCTCTAAGGCAAACGGGAGTGTTTGGAGCGTCTCAGTCACACATGTATATGCGTCATCTAATCATTCACATTCTAAAGAAAAAAGCTGTTCTGTCTCTACTTTCACGTTGATGTGAGGTTGTCGAGTATATGCAGTAACTGTGTGGATGATGACGACGATGACGATGAGAACTTCATTTGGGTCCCGAGAAGACGCAGGGAGACGCCGTGCCACCTGGCTATAGTCCTTGGTAGGGACCACCATTCCGAGCTTGGCGGCCCTATTCGCGGGCACTCTGGCCATGGTGCAGGGAGAAATATAAAAGTAGCCACAATCACCAACCCCCGCACTCACGCGTCAGTTTGCATCTCACGCTCTTAGTCTTCCATCGCGTCATCTCCTGTAACCATATCAAAAGTGATGTGTCCCATTGATTGCCAACTGCCGCACGCCGTTCGTGCCCGCAAAGTAGCGGCGCACGGTAATATATAAAGCTAAAGTACACGAGATAGAAGACGATATGCTGTGTGGACAGGAAGACGCCGAAATTCGCCTTCTTTGTCTCTGAGAGTAAGACTACAGTAACCTGTCTGGAAAAGAATAATGAACGCAGGCGACTTGTGTGTGTTTAGAAAAAGGGTGTAATTTACCGCCACCATGCAACATTTTATTCCACACTAAACATGCACATATATTCAAAAGACGAACACAAAGCAAGTGGTTTACATATTGACAGTAACACACTGATCGGTCACCGCATAGCTATAATGGGACAAATATTTAGTGTCCCTGTGGACAGGTACATATCATTCGCATGCTGAGGATTGTCACGTACGTATACACAAACATACATGGGTGGATGGCTAGTGAGTCTAAGGAACTTTTTTTTTGTTTGTGTAGCGCACCGAAACTTGGACAACATGAACTAGACACGACAGCGCTTACACTCACAACTGATGTTTCAACGCCAAATAACTGGCAAAATGAACGTCAACCGGCTGCCCCAAGAAGGATTAAAACAATTCCTCCTTGGGCTGCCCCAATTCCCTATCTTGCTAGAGTATACGGAAATTCAGTTCAGCTCCGCCGTTTGTTTGAAGAAAAATACCGTTAGAAGAAGAAAAAATATATTTTTTCGCTGCACTTCCTGGTATATCCACATAACGATGTGTTTTATGGTATGTTGTGTGCAGACGTCTCGTCAGGGCTAATGATCGCATGAATTTCGTTCGGCACACTAACATGTTTAAGATGACCAGTTTCATCATAGATATGTTTTCCTTGTGTAGTGGGTTTTGGAATGTAACTCCGACGGTCCAAGCAAAGTGTATGTTTATAACACTAGTCTTCAGTCAAAGGTAACTCTACAGCTCTGATCAAAAACTCAATTTGTATAACTGAGCAACAGTGTCAATGCGTGCTATAGTTTGTATTTTATTGAGGATTTGGGATGTAGCGTCACGTACGAAAATGTTAAGAAATAATACGACAGGAAAGAGGTCTAATTTCGTTTTTCAGAAAGCGTTGCGGTATATTTGCCGAGCTGTTCAGCTACTACAGCTCTAAAAGCAATGAGGGGAAAATTCACCATGGTGTCGGAGGGGTAGTCTTGTGGCTGAAATTTTAGGGGCGAAGCTCCTTATAGCGGCACCCGTTCGTCCCTCGTAGTCATAGTGTGTAACAATTGTTACATTTTGACCTCCAAGGTGGTGCCGGTGGGAGATTTTTTCTGTGCGTTGTTGAACAATAAAAAATAGTGCTCAATGTACATGCCAATGGCTGCTAATGGGGAATGAGAGACAGAAGCATTCCGCTTTTAGTTAACGCGCACGCTGCGATACCCATTAGCAGCCATTGGCATGTACATTGAGCACTTTCTGACAAGAAAGGGTTGCTACGTTATACTCGCTGGGTGTAACCTCCTTAGTTTTAGAAAGGTTTAGCGAGCGTTGAGCCGCAGTGCCATGATTACAAAGAAGTAGTATATACCATGAACTCGAGGTGGTTAAAGGTGGGAAGTAGATATGAAGCGCAAGCCGTAAGAAAGTAAAAGCCGATTTCTCCTGTCTCTCGCTTCCCATTAGCAGCCATTGACATGTACGTTGAGCACTATCTGAGAGGAAAAGGTTGCTACGTTATATTCACTGGACGTAACCTCTTTGGTTTTAGAAAGGTTTACCGAGCGTTGGGCCGCAGTGCCATGAATACAGTGAACTAGTATATACCATGAACTCGAGGTCGTTAAAGGTGGGAAGTAGACCCGAAGCGCAAGCCGTAAAGAAGTGTGCTGGTGCCACCTATCGTTTAGTCCTTGGAATGTCCGCTGGATGGCGGTGCTTCTATATGTGGAATATATGATGAAAAGATGCGAGATAGTGGTACTTAGAGTGTTGAATAGATGGACGAGCGG